TATATATTGATAAACCCGGAAAATGGAAAAAATAAAAAGTACGACATATAAATATATATATATCTATATACATGTGTATAATAGTCTATAATTTTTCATATTGTTGTACGGATTTTTAAGTTTATATTAAAATGTTTTGTGCATTCATAAAAAAAAGGAAGTACCAAATATTCGTGTGATGAATTCTTTACCTGTTCGCCTTAATCCCCTCCATCTCCCCATAAGATTTTATCATTGCTAAATATACCATTAATTTATATGCAAAGTTACTATTTTATTGTTTCTCTTATAAATAATTAATTAGTCTCAAGACAATTAAGTTACAATTTTAACAATTTTTAGTATTATAGATATTAAGCATACATCAGATGATGCTAAATAACTTAAAGCATCAATTAAAAGATTCAATCCGATTATTATAATTGTCATTTCGAATACAACTTAATTGAGGAAAAATAAATCACATCGTTATTTGAAGTTTACAATCTTTTTTTCTAAACATCTAAAAATTATAATCAACAAAGAGCAAGAGAAAAAGTTGAAGTTTATGAAAAAACTTTTTTTTAAGAAACAAATGACAATTTAATTAAAACATTGTATAATACATATAATTCAAAAAATATGAGATAATCAAATATTATTTTATATATTACATTGTATAACTCTTATGATTCACTATACGAGGATAATTCGAAAAGTTCTCGGCATGACAATAAGATGAGTAGTTCGAAAAATTCTCGGCCTGGTAGTTTAAAAAGTCTCCCTGGTAGTTCGAAAAGTCTCGGTCTGGTTTTCGGTAATTACCGACCTGGTGTGTTCGAAAAGTCTCCGCCTGAAGTTCAAAAAGTTTAGCGTGGTAATCGGAAAGTCCCGTCTGGCCATCAGAAAGTTCCATCTGGTCACGTCTGGCGAACGGAAAGTTCCGTCTGGTGGCCGGAAAGTTTCGTCTGGCGGCAGGTAAGTTTCGTCTGGCGACCGGAAAGTTTCGTCTGGCGATCGGAAAGTTCCGTCCGACGATCAAAAAGTTCCGTCTGGTGATCGAACAGTTCCGTATGGCGATCAGAAAGTCCCGTCTGGTGATCGGAAAGTTTCGCCTCGTGATTGGAAATTCTCGGCCTGGTGTTGATGTACCGGCGAATATAATGGTTATGTTGAGTTGTGCTACGATAGCACAACTCAGATATAGTGTATCGATCACATGGAAGCACTACAAACCCGATTATGGCAGAAATTTATGGGCAAAAAACCGAACACGGAGGGAAAAACTATTTTTAGTCATAACTTTTGGTGTTATGAAAGAACGGCTGAAATCTTTGCGGCACAATGTAGCACAAATCGAGCACAACTCAGCACAATGTTTATTTTACCGATTAAACAAAATGGCGGTGCTGGCGAAAAAAAACGTTTTTTTCAATTTAACGCTTTGTTTTTTGAGTTATGTCATTAATTCTTGCGGCACAATGTAGCACAAATCTAGCACAATTCAGCACAAATTTTATTTTATTTTTTTTCAAAATGGCGGTGCTAACTTCACGCACATAGGGTTTTGTGCTGCTGGTATATCACCGTTAGTGGCGTCGCCGCTGTATGACACCTGGTAATGCGGAACTAATATTTATATTTAATTATTTAATATAGCTATTAAAATCAACATAAACGCGTTATTCACAAGATTTTCACGTTCACAGTGATTCAGCGATCAGCGATAAGTCTTGAGCGATCGCTTGAGTGAAATGGACCTGTTTCGCCTCGTCTCGAGTGTTGCAGCATTATTTTTGGAAAGCGTTGTTGGCTTCGATTGTACCCAGCAAGCTTGGTCAAGTTTACCTCGTCACCTACAATCGTGATGTATGTACTACAAGATCAAGCGTTTTATTCCGAATTTACGTAATAATTTGTTGATCTGCAACATAGTTAATAAATTAAATATTAAATTAATTATTAATTAATAACTAGTTAATTAATTTTGTTGTATGCATAATCGACCCAGTTACGTTATGCATACAACAAAATTAATTAACTAGTTATTAATTAATAATTAATTTAATATTTAATTTATTAACTATGTTGCAGATCAACAAATTATTACGTAAATTCGGAATAAAACGCTTGATCTTGTAATACATCTCGATTACGGGTGATCAGAAACATCTTGTTATATGTGCCTATATATCCGTCAAGGCACTAGTTTCTGATCAGTTAAGGAACACTTTCATGTTACTCTCAATATTTAAACGAAAATACAAACTTTTTTATTTTTAGACGATAGATCAACATTTGAACTTTAAATTGCATTGGAAAAATTATATATGTATAATAACCATAATTAATTTAATAATTAGATAAAATCGTCGTGAGTCACATGAAACCAATTTCTGATCAGATATTCTCGAGGGATAAACTGTTGAGGGAATTAGGTACGAGGCATTACTGTTGAATTTTTATGTAATGCCCTATGTTGCGTGGTTATTTAGGTTAGGAAATCTATCACTGACAGATAATAAATTAATATATTGTAATTTCCATATTTTTAATATGATAGATTAATATATTTTTATATTATTTTAATATATTTTTACGGGCTATACCTCGAGCGGCTGGAGCGTTTCTATCGGAGCGCTCTCATTTATTAGTACAATTACAAACATTAATATCTCGATTATTATTACGATTTACGAATTTCGCTAAACAGTAAAGGACTTTAATGTTTATTTCGATCCCATCTACCTTCCTGTGGCCGGCAGGAGAAGTCTCGCTGGACACCCTGTATATATCTGATATACAGTCTGTCTAGTAAGAGCGTGGCAAACCCCTATCTCAAAGAAAAATGGCTTATTAGTCTTAAATTTATATTGATTGTATTCAGTAGGATTATGGCCAAAATGCAATTATATTAATAAGGAATCCAGTCACCAGCTGAGTCTATAATAAAATACTAAAGAAATCGCATATTTACGTGGCAAAGACTTCCAGATTCGTCGAATTTCATTTTTTAAGCGCTTCGAAGTTGATGTCGGTCTTCCATGAAGCTTCCTCTTAATGAGTGACCACACATTTTCAGTGTTATGACAACCTATATATATAGCGGCTATATTGAGTATTAGTTTTCCAGGTGTCATATAGCGGCGGCACCACTAACGGTGGTAATGCCAAAACAATAGTCCAAACAATGGGTGGAAGCGGAAGTGCTCCAAAGAAGGCGAAAACTGTCCCGTCAGCCGGAAGGTGATGGCGACTGTTTTTGGGGGATTCGTATCGAGTGGTGCTCATAGACTATTTAGAAAAAGGCAAAACTATCAATGGAGAGTATTATGCAGCATTGCTGGAGCAATTAAACGATGCTATTAAGTATTAAGACCAAATGTCCACATTTGGTCGAGAACTTTTTGTATTTATACTTTTACTTTAAAAAAAGAATTATAAACTTCTATCTTATTGCAGCTACTTTTTTAATTGTAAATTTTTTTAAATTAATTATGAGTACACTATTTAACGTAGAATTAATTTATCTCATAATTAAAGGAGATATAATTGGAAATTTATCTAATTTCTCTTAAAAATTCAATAATTAGAATCAATAATTCTCTTTCTTTTCTTTTATTGCTAGTAATTCATACATTAGAAATACAAATACGCAGTTAGTAATAAAACTAATCTAACACATTGCTAATGCAACAAGAGAGGAAGATGAAAAGAACGAGAGGAATGATAAGTATACGCGCAAACTGGCAAGATAAGCGAAAACAATGAAAACAATAAAAAGGACATTCTTAATAAATATTGTTACATATAAGCAAGATATTCACGATTTTTATTTGCACACCATATATAATAATAGTTATAATTATTACCCAATGTGAATCTTCTCTATTATAGTAGATTAAGAAATTTGTAATTGTTGCAGCATTCCCGTGTTGATCATTATCATTATCGCTGCAACCAGGTAAACATGGTGAAAAATCTACTATAATATCGGTTAATACTTATACAATTATTTTATTTTATTTTTTTGAAAAAATTCAAAAACATACACGTTAAAATCGAAAAATAATAACATGATTCACGTAAAAAAACATATTAAAAGTTTTAATCTTGTGGAAGAATTGACCACGTAGATACCTGACTGCAGCAATCAACTTATTATAACTGCATCAAGAGGCTGCCACGTTTCATAAACTCGTCATACATATGTTTATTCTACCGCTTTGATATTTACACAGCTCATTGGTCGCAGTTATACAATCGCTATATTAAGCGGGTAACAAATTACTCATAATAAATCGTTACCTATAAAAGTAACTATGAAATAAAAGCTTTATCAATGTATAGAACAATAAGACAACTTCATTTTAATTACACACTGCAAATATTTTAATTGTTCTTTTCTCTCTCTCTCTCTCTCTCTCAATCATACTAGAAAAAAACTTTTCTAAAATAAACAACTAAGATATTTGAAGTGTTTATAAAATGGCACACTTTCTATATCTGAAGATAAGATAATGTAATTTGTCTTCTTATCGTTTTATTTAATCTTACGAAATTATAGTTTAACGGTACTTGCACATGACTTTACCTGTTAATCATAACTATTCAGAATGTATGATAAAGATTGAAATCGCAAAACAATGTCGTTAGATTAAGAAAATCTTATTAGAATATTATACATCAGAATCAAATCGAAATTACATTATGGATTAAAATATCGGTCTGATTACGACTGTGATCCGAAGCCAACTTTCAGTTCCAATGTTCATCATTTCCAATTTGTTTTAGTGATAACGGTAACAGGTATACAATATAATATACTTAAGATTTGATAATATACATAATGTAATATTATATCATATACATATAATATATATTTTTATATAATATAATATTATACAAATATCTATATAATTATTGAAAACCGAAATCGAAAAGACCAAAATCCAAACGGACCCGGTAACCGTTACAGTAAAAGAACAGAAACTAAAAATTAAATTTAATCTTAAGCCGTTATTTGAATCAAAATTTTTCGGTTTACATTTCTATTCAGAATCGATGCTATTTCGAGAATATATCACCTTATGTAGACAATCGTGATTTAAGGATAATCTTTCGATTTTTGTGATTACACTTTGTGATTAAAAAATCTTTCCGCGTCTGGAGCAGTCAATGGTCTGATTTTAACATCAATTTCAATTATTATTTTCGTGGAATTTAATGTAGTGTATCTTCAGAGCTCTGTTATTAGGATATTTAACATCACATAGCGGACAAGTAGCTCCAATCGCATCTTTCACTACGTAAGTGCTCAGAGTGACCTCCCTGTGGAACGTATTGCTATCAGCCTGATACACTGCGTTGTGCACATTGGTGATATGATTTATGATAGACTCCTTATTGAAGACGTGACACTGCTTGCACAATTTACAGCTGTACATTACGTTATTGTAGGCCACTTCACTGGTTTTCACATCCCTCGGACGTTCGGGTGTTGGGAGCGACAATCTTTCATTGCTCACTATCATTGATGTGTTGTTGGCTTCGGACGTCTTTTTGTGTTTGATTGTGAAATGTTGTCGCAGATTTGATAGACCAGGGAATTTTTTGAAACAGATGTTGCATGAAAATTGGCCATCGTGAGTCGACATCGGTATACACTCGGGTATCAATTCTTTTTTTGGTCGTTTGTGAACCATTTGCTTATGCTTATACAGCACGCTCATATTAGGGAACATTTTCTTGCAAACATGGCACATGACCGGCTTCCTTCTCTCGCCAGCAAAGTCCATGGCGAAAGGCGACAATTTGGTCTGTGAATTATCGTTTTCAACGTCTTGTTTCATACGCTTTACCCTTGGTTCATTAAATGACGGTAATTGACTGCTGTTGTAAAACTGTTGCTGGGCACGATTCTGCGGATCACTGTGGAAGGTGAATTTGTGCCGTTGCAGAGACTGATTGCTTGAAAAGACTTTACGACAGAAGTTGCACAAGAATTGTGTAGCCATCGGTTTTCTAGCTATAGATTGGAATTTAATTGAGGCTACAACGGTAGTTTTATGAAGCCTCTTATGCTTCCATAGAACCTTCTTCGAACTGTAAGACTTGCCGCATATATCGCAGGAGAAGGTCGTCTTTTGTATATCACTAAGAATAGGATTGGCCTTGTGCCATTGCATGTGAGATGCTAGGGTTTCCTTGTCGGGGAAAATGTTCGTGCAAAGTTCGCATTGAAGTTCATCATTAGAGAAACTCTTTTCTAGTTTGTTGCGAGCGCAATGGACATCCCACAAATGGGTCCTCAGTTCTACGACATCATTGAATTTGTCATTGCATACTTGACATTGATAATTATCTGATGTCTTTATTAATGATTGGAGTGGTGCATTAGGGAAGGACTTTCGTGCTCTCGCTGGCCGTTCTGAATTCTCAACAAATTCAACGCTACTTGATTCTTTTGTGTCATCGGACGCGTTCTGATATCCCAGTATAAATCGAGTGCTCAAACGTGAATTTGCGCGATTGTGCCAGCCCTTATGTATTTTTAAAGACGCTTCCTCAACAAAGACTTTACCGCAGATATCACAAGCATAACCGGTTCGTGATTTCTCGATATGAGCAGTACGGAAGTGATAAGAGAAATTCGAATGGAAGACAAAACTCTTAGGGCATTGCGGACACTGCAGCATTGTCTTCTTAGAATTGTGCTTGATTTCCATATGAGTATCATACAAATCTTTACGCATAAACATTCGTGAGCAGTTGACACAATCGTAGATCTTAGTATTCCGGTGAGCGATTTTAGCGTGTCGTCGAAGATTAGCGTAACTGGATAGTACCTTACCACATTCGCCACATTCATGATTTTGCGGACCAGGGTCCGACATGGCACTGATATTCACTGAATCTTTTTCAATCATTACATCCTCATCTAAGCTGCCGAATTCCATGTTAGAGACATTGGCGTCCCTTTCGTGCGCATCTTCGATACCATGATCTTTCATATGGCTCTCCAAGGCGCCGGCGCTGCTGAATAAGCTACGGCAAATGGCGCACGAATATATCTTCATTTTGAGATGAAGAGTTCGATGCTCTTTCAGTTCAACTCTCGTGGAGAACTTCTGGGAACAAAGAGGGCAAGGATACTGCTGATTTGATATTCGTGAACTAACCCTTGGTTTGACATTTGTTTCGTAAGCATTACGTTCTTTCAATGGTGTTTGAACTGAATTCTGCGAGGTACTCTCGTGTTGCATTTGTCGGTTGGCTGGCATTGTCGTGCGATGGGTTTCATAATGAGTTACAAAATCACTAGGCGATCGGAATTTGGAAAAGCACTCAGAACATGTAAAATCTTTTTTCTTATGATCGGCTGTTATATGATAGTGGAACTTTTTAAATACAAGGAACGTCATGTAACAATGCACGCATCTGTACAATGTTCTGCTGTCTGGGTCCAATCGCGCACACATCTCCCTGTGCTTTATCATATTGGGCCGATATCGGTAGATCATGCCGCATAAATCGCAGGCATGATTATGTTTTGGATCACCATTCATGTAAGGTCCGCTCATGATAGCGCTGGTTTTCGAGGATGGCAACGGTGCCATTGGCTTCAGTTTAGGCGGAGCTCGCGTCGACGATGACATCATTTCCTCATACTGCTTATCAGAATGCTTCGACAAATGGCTGAGTAACTCCTTCCTGCCTTGCATTGAGCGCAAGCACATATTACATGTAAAATATCGCTCGCTACCAAGTTTCGGTACAACTAGGGCAATCTTCATGGCGCATTCAAAGGAAGCTCCGCAATGTAACTGATACATCGATCGATCTGGAAATTCAGTCAAACAAGCAATACATGTGTACGGTCTTAAATCCGGCATATGTTGACGTATATGAGAAAGAGTGCTACGTCGATCGTTAAACGTCTGTTCGCAAGAGTAGCAAGAAAAAGTTTTCAGTTGACTAATAATATCCTGTTGAACTTGTGTCAGCGGTGAGTCCTTCTCCATACTGATCAATTCATCTTCTAGATCCTCGATCATCTCCTCATCGTTGTTCTGTATCTCTGAATTCTCAATGCCGTTTTCTTTGCTGTGGAATCTCTTCATGTGTTTCAAATATGAGTATTTAGAATGCAAAAATATCTGGCAGTGCGTGCACTTCTGCTTAAAAACACGCGTTCCTCTGAAATGAGTGTGAGGACCGCGTTTTAATTTCTTCTTAGGCAATATACCAGCTGCATTGGACTTTTGTGTAGAATCGGCCTCCATAACAATGTCCTCTGTCTCATCGATTGCCATAGGATTCAATTCACTGCTATTCGTGGATTCTACTTCTATAGTACCATCGGTATCGTCTTCATCTTGTGGTTCACTTTTAACGGAACATAGAACTATGGAACTCTGCTGATCCGTTTGATTCTCTTCCTTATCAGTTTCTTTTTCCGTTGCAGATGAAATTGGTTCCGGGTCCTTGTCAATATTATTCGTAGTATCATTAGTACTACTGTTATCTACTACATCTTGTACCTTTTCACTAGATTCATCGTTTTCCACTATTTGAATTAGTGAATGCTGAAAAACAGATAATTTTTATGTAAAAAAATCGTTTTAATTATAATCAGTTTTTCTAAATTATACTTACCACTTGTTCTGAGTTATTGGTGGTCTCCTCAATAATTTCTGTATTATTGATGGTCATTTCAATAATTTCTACATTATTGGTCTTTTCAATAATTTCTATATTATTGGTGGTCTTTTCAATTACTTCTTCATTATTGATGGTCTTCTCAATCACTTCTTCATTATTGGTAGTCTTCTCAATCATTTCTTCATTATTGGTAGTCTTCTCAATTACTTCTTCATTATTGGTGGTCTCCTCAATAACTTCTACATTATTGGCGACCTCCTCGATAATTTCTACATCATCTTCATAATCCACGTCCATTGGTTCATCTTTGATTGTGTTAACCTATAGATATTAGAAAAACGTGAGGATAAGTGTGTGTATGTGTGTTTAAGGGTCATTGTCAGTGTCAAAATAAGTTATACAATCAAAATTGATGCTAGACAGTGAAAAATGCTAAAAAAATAATGTAGCATCGTGTACATAACATTAAATTATTTTATGTTTGATCCGAGTAATCGTTGGATGTTAAATAAATTCATCCAAAAAAAAAAAATTAATTTAATCAGAGTACTTTATCATTTTTTATGAAAGAAAAAACTGATTAATGCTTTCATGCAAAAGTCTATATTATCGTTCTTAAGCCTCGTCTGAGCCTCGTATTGTATTTGTACAGCAAATGTTTTAAACTTGTTAATTGGCTACAGGATAAGTAAGTTCTTTGATTTCTAGAAATCTTCTAATTTGTGGCTAATCGATACATACGCTTGAAAAATTTATCATATAGATGCAGTATGTGAGATTCGGATGTTAAAAGTCAGAGTACAGATATTTACATAAAGCATAATGCATCATGATAAAAGAATAAAAATCCTTATTTCATGAAAAGAAGAATTCTGATCTCTTATGCTTATACTTTTTTATGTATTATACTTGTATGTTATACAAATGTGTGTGCTAATGATGCGAATTGATGATTTTTTCCCGATTCTTGAAGGTCGATTCTTTTGGCAAACAATCAATTATTAATCGATTTCTAAGAACCTTGATTCTTACTAAAGCGATTCTCCTTGTTTAGAGAAATTATCTTTTATAACTTTTAATAGCCGATTGGCCATTCTAATGTCAATCCTACGTCAAGATGTAATGAAAAAAAAGGTAAAAAAAGAATCGATTTTTAAGAAATGCTTCTTTTTGTATCGACTCTGAAAAATCGATTCGGTAGAAAAGGAGGCGGGCGATTCTTCAGAATCGATTCTTTCATATTTATGCATTACTAGTCTATACTTCTGTCCTAAAGTCCTATGTCCACGGTGCTACAACTTCGTCTGAGTTCTTGAATCAAAGAATATACAACTACCAATATGTAGTTTTTACAGAAAAACGGTAAGTTGATTGACTGCACGTTTCTCGGTTTGAACCGAGTTTTAGCACCATGGGGACAGGATACAGGACTTAAGGACGTTATTTCATTTGTGCATTCTTGTCGTATGACAAATGTATACAAAATAGAGAGGTCCTCGGATCTCTTTATCTTAGAGCCAATCAAGAAATTAGAAAATTTGTCGCACGATAAAAACGCACAAATAGCGGCTTATAGCCTTGTGTTCATGGTGCTAAAACTTGGTCTGAATTCTCGGTTCGAGAAATGTACAGCCACAAATCAACCTGCAATTTTTCTGTAAAAACTACATATTGATTCACTACATGGCTACATATTCAAGAATTCAAGCGTCTCAAGAGAAAACAGATTTAATAGTATAGTAAAAATGACTTAAACTATTGTATTCTAGTAAATTTTAAAATACAACATACCGTAGAATTTGACTGCAATTGATTTGTCAGCCATTCTTTCAGTTTGTCCTGGGAGCGCAAACACGATTGCTTATAGATGTGCCATTGATTAACGCTTTTTACACAATTTGCGCATATCCATGTGGACAGCTTATCGGCTGTTAAAATCTAAAAAATTGAGCATATCCATCACTACATAAAAATCTCAACAAAATTTGAAACACATTACAAATATTAAAAAACTGTAAATAAAACTGAACTTATTCTGATCTGCAATTTCCTTGTTTTAAATTTTTTTCTTGAAACTTTGTACTTTTATATTCTATCAAACGTACAAAACATAAAATTTAATTTAAAAAAAAGTAAATGTTTGAAACTTTAAGGTGAATATGTTATATTTTTTGCTCCTAATAATTAGAACTAATACATATGTCCATTTTTTGAAAATAGTTAAACAATAAAAATCTTATTGGACTGTATATGTAAAAAAAATTAATTTAAATTTTGAATTTGTTAATTTTCTGATTTTATATACAATTTATACTTCAAATAATATCGATATTATTAAAAAAATTTTGACGATGTTAGCCTACAAAAACAAAAGAACTTCGTTTAATAATGATTTTATACAGAAAAATGTGATCATATTATTCTGCAGTTTTAGATCAATAAACTTTGAAACGAGTAAATGGATTTAAATAAATTTATGCAGAAATATTTATTGATGTTTTATTTTTTAATATATATATGTAAAATTTAATTTAATCCTTAGTTATTACTTTCTCAATAAACTATGATTTTACATAAAAAAAAATTAAATAACTTTTAAACTAATAAGAGAATTGTGCTCAAATTTTACATAAATACTTAGATGTAAAAAATAGAATCTGTAAAATTTTTGTTAAATTTCTAACACATTAAAAATATTGTAGCTGTTAAACATTCTTATAATACAATGCTCATTTTAAAGTCATTTCTGTTAACTGATATTACCTAACAATCTTCTTATAGCCCTAACATGTATCACTCTTTTCAAACTTCAAACACCTAAAAAGACGTATTTAAAAGAGTATTTGAAATGTTTGATTCGCTTATTCGTAAGAATGAGATAGATGCTATAATTACGCTTCACATCAAAAGAAGGAAAGAGATAGGACATGAGTAATGTGCGATTAGGAGGAACAACCAGATTGTATGACCCTCGACTGTGAATCGACACTTATGTAGACATAACCTCAAACTGTGCGTCGCAAAGCGGCGTACCACGGCGAGACTGTGTAGAAATCGGTCATGGATGATCGTGACTTTCTCACGTCTCGATCATCAGAGTATTCCAGTTCCTACGTGGAATGAATGCAAATCGCGTACATACGCACCTGAATCGACAGGCAGGCCTGAATTTTAGCAACCAGCGGCACACTGGATAACTCCTCTTCTTCCTCCTGCGTCGCAAACACCGAAGATCTAGGTCCATCCGTGGAAAGGCACAGTCTGCAGACATTCTCCACGTTCTCGAACTCCATCACGTCTTCGTTCATCGTTGTCCGTTGACCACGTTAACTCTCGGCACAGGACACCACAATGTCCACAATTAGGACGCCGTCGCTGACGCCGACGCCACGTAACTCTTTCAAAGATTCTCCCAGGTTAGGGACACGTTGTGTTTGCGGCGTTTGCGCTAACAGAAGATTAGTAATGGCTCCGAACGAACGCCGGACCGGAACTAGACTGGATTAAAGGCTACTAAAGAGGCGAGGGAGCGAGCAAGAAACCGTTTCCGTGCGTCCAACTTGCCGGTGATGCGCCAAGATGGCGCGATCGGACGCTTGACGAATTCTGTGCTCAGAGCTGTCCAATTAGATCCAGGGTCCTTAGGCTAATATTTTTCATTCGCAGTACGACAACAATTTTTTTCTAATTATGTTCATTGTGAACGAACATACTGTACTGCAGGATAAAAACATTCTTCAATTCCTAGAAATTTTCTATCTTATAGTTAATCAATGTACTTGAACAATTTGTTATTTAACAAATTAAATAGCAAGAGTTAATATGGCTAGTATTACATTCGTCGTATGACGTACAATAAATTTTTCATAATTATAGAAGCATCTGCACACGTTGGAACACGAACCTGTCGACATTGGTCATATATGATCGATGACATATATTATACATGTGTAAATTATTCCGTTTGAAGGAATTTTTTCTCTACTTCCCAAACTTCCTAACTAAAGGATACTATTTATCTATTTTATTATTATGCGTTTTTTTGTCAAATTTTTTTAAGCCTGGTTGGCCATAAGACAGAGAGATCCAAGGACTTCTCTGTAGGTCTGTGCTGTAAACATTTATTGCATGACAAAAACGCATAAATAGCACTCATTAGATGCCTTCCGATTCACACATGATGCATTAACGTCCTTGTTTAACATTTGGTGAGCAACAAAGATAAACGATGCATTATGCGCATCATGCGAGAAACGAAATGCATCTAAGGACTCATGATAAACCTAGTATCCCCCATGGTAAAAGTGAAACTGACAGAACAGCGACTACGTTTACACTTTTAATCGAGTTTAATAACATCAGTAGTTAGAAACTGACCAATTATAATTTATAGCTATTCCTCCTGAAGAATGAAATGACTGTAATTGGCCAGTTTCTAATTAGTTTTTAATTTAATGTTATTAAATCCGATTAAGAGCGTCCGTGTAAACATAATCATTGGCTGCATTCAGCAGAAAGATCAGCTTTACAACTGTTATAAAATTCTTGAATATAATTGATTTATACATTTTTAGGTCCAATGAGAAACTAAGAATAAGGCCATATTAATAAATTTTACAACACAGGTGGCTTCACTTTTATCATAGGAGCATATACTGTGCCAATCTAAAGCCCTGTGTCCACGATGCTAAAACTCTGTCCGAGTTCTTGAATTCAGGGAATGTGTATCCAATCAGCATGCAGTTTTTACGGAAAAACGGTAAATTGATTGGCTACACATTTCTTGGTCCGAGAATTCGGATCGAGTTCTAGCATCGTGGACGCAGGGCTTTATAAGTCTGTTCTTTTTTGAAGAATTCTGAACTACAGTTATGAACTGTGATTTTAACTTATTGCACTAGTTAGTATACTACTGACTATAGTTACTACTAACTAGTGCAATAAGTTAAAATCAAACAAACTGTAGCTGTTCTACTTTAATTCATATTGTACCACTGTACACTATTTCAGAACTTGGAGTGGAAAAAGAACAGACCTTATGTTCTTAACATACACTCCCTCTTCTCTCTCTTTCTCTCTAATCTGATTCGCATGGTCATTTAGTTTAGATCGTACCCACGGATCCGAGCACACTGCAGATATTCGCATATGCATTTACAATCATACACATACATTGAATAATTGCACAATTAATAATGAGGAAAAAAAATAAGATTTAAGATTATATTAAAGATTTAAGATTATATTAGAATAAATCAATCATAAATATCAATCATGTCAACTTCAGGTATTTTCGAGGCAAAACGTCTTTGTATTTTTAAAATTTCAAACACAAAATATTTCTGCAATAGTAGATAAACAAATTCAACGATTCTGTTTTTATTCGAGTTCATATAAAAAAAATTAATTCATAAACATTGTGATAATCAGGAGAGATAGGAATATTAAAAAGGTATATATTGTATGCTTGGTCGACTTTTATTTCATATATTCCTTCTGATATATATTTGATACACGAAATTGTCATTTGTACACTGCAGGTAAGACAGATTGCACGTCATATACATCAGGATGTAACATACGTGATATAATCTTTCAATCTTCTGTTTAAACCGACTCTAAATTTCCGGATTCCTATTTGCTATAAAATTAACATCCGCGCATCTTTGGTATTATACTTCCGTTAATTCTGTCGCAAAATAGAGGCTTAAAAAAATTAAGAGCGATTAAACGGTCCTTCGCAATAACGTCGGTAGAGCTTTATTAAACAGTATATTAAGCTTATTGACTCTTCAACAGACAGCGGTCCTCAACTTTGGTTAGAACTCTGACATCATAACGATCGATAAATTTCCCGATTCCTTTGTTGTCGTGGATAACCATGTTTTTTTTTTTTTCGATTAATTGGCATTAATATGTCTCTCTAACATTACATAAATATCAGTTTGTTGATTATAAAATATGCTTTATTAGCTTGATAACAATCACAAAATGTACGTCACAGATTTCTAAAGAATATCTAGATCACCAAACATTCTCGCAATTTGTCACAAGTCATTTGTCACAAGGGCAAACGATATCTGGTGAAATAATATTGTGACATAACCACTGATTATTCTAAAAAAATATGGTTCAATGCTGACGATTTTGGACTCGTTAAAAATGACCGTCATTCTCCTCTTGTTCGTCTCATTTTCGTTTTTCACAGCTATCAGAGTGATATTCGTGTAGAAGCCTGTAACGTACTTTCGTCGGCTATAAAGAAGAGAAAGAAAAAAAAACCAAAGAAGAGAGGAGGAAGTAATCATAGGAAAACTTGAGCGTATTCGTGCTCACTCCGTTCGACTGTGGCTACGAATCGTTTTCTCAACGTTCTCCCTACGAGATGTAACTCTCTTCCCTCTCCCTCCTCCCTCTTTCTCTATCTCTTTCGACACGCGCTACTTCGCAACTACTTGGTACGTCGACTGAACTTGCATTGACATTTTGTTCGCTCACGCAGGCACCGCGAAAGAAACACAACACCGCGCCGGGTTATAACTCGTAATAAGCACATTGTATGCAAATCGAAGATTATTCGCGCTCCTTTGTTGCGAACAGCGAACGCTAATGGAGCACAACGTAACGAACGATTACGGAATCGATATACGACAATCGACGTTATACAACTTATGCTCGTAACAATCGTTTAATGATCGCCTTTGAGCGCTTAATGATATATATGTATATGCATGTGTACGCAGATGTGGCGTACATGAAATTAGAACCATCAAGCTAAAGCCTTATCTACGGGGGTATCCTGCGTGTGAAACTCTCTCTATCCTCTTAGAACTATTCACATTAATATACAGCGTGTGCGAGTAACCATTGACACATGTTTACTTACGTTTAACGAGAACTTTGTCAGTCCCCCCTGACGCTATGCTAAAAAAACAAATTCAACTCTCTGACCTTGATTCTTTTAAAAGCGCAAACGGATTTCGTACTCGTCGAGCCTATCCACATATATGCGGTTTACGTTAACATTCATGACTTTTCGTTGAACGAAACAATATCTCGTGTTTCCCAAAAATCTTGACCACTGGGTGGTGCACGCTTGTGGTTTCGATTTACCCGACGAACCTCTCTGCTTGCATTGTGGTTTATTCGCAAAGTTACTCTATGAATCGAGTATAAAATTTATACCGTCTCGCAACGAATGTTACACCGATGTTCTCTTTCACGCGGAAATCAAATGAATGCCTGGCTCACAATGGCAATTTCGCGCCGTATCTCCTCGTGATCAACGCGGTTCCAGTTCGCGTGTCCTCTTAATTTAACGTAAAAAAAGGAAAGCAGTTCAAGTTGACAGGCAGCTGGAGTTGAAGCAGGAGCTTCGTTGCGACTGCTGACGCACATAGTCCTGAACGTTGAATTTCATCCCATCAGGATTGTCGCTTTTTCTAGCCTTCAGCTCCCTGAAAACAACCAGTATCGTTTAGTTCCATCGATTTTATTCAGCCCTAGTCTTCCATCCACAAATACATGAAACGCTTTCTAAGTTCGAATAAACTTTTATTTCAACTCGTTTATCTTTCGTTTGTTTTCGATTCTTAAAATTTTCAATTTCAAAGATACAGTGGAAAATTGAAGCTAAAAAAAGAACGTTGACGCGAAATCGATTAAAAATCAGTGCAGTTTCAAGCATTGTTTGTTCAAGCATTGTTTATTCAAGCATTGTTCGTTCACTCTATTGTAGATTCGTCGATTTTGTCGAAATCATACCGAGCAACGGCGAGGAACGCCAATTCGACATTGAGACCAGTCTTGGCAGACGTTTCCATGAACGGCACTTTGTACTCCTGCGCTAATCGCTCGCCGTCTTCCCGCTTAACGGCACGCTCTGTCCCACAATCAGACTTGTTACCTACGGTTTAATACAGCGACGAGAAGATAAATTACACAAAATATTCACCTTTTTCATGATGAAGCTAACGACGTTCTCAGTCGATCTCGACTGCCTACGAGCAATTAAGACCAATTTGCATGAACTAGTAGTTCACACGTGATACATTCGGATCGAAATTGAATTTTGAATTAAAAGCTAAAAATTACACGTGAAAATGCGAGAGATTGAAAATATTTATATTCCTTTTACACTCATAACGAATTCATTTTCTAGCTAAACGCGGACTCGTAAAGATTGCTCTTAATTGCTTTCCAAAGCAGTCCAAAATGCATTAAGCGAAAACGCTACGAGTTGAACTCGATAATACTTCCAAAAACTTGGATTGTTATATACATATATATATAGCTGTAAATTTTTTATTCAAATTGGATTCGATAACTGGATGTATATCAGCTTGAGACAAGCTGATCGATAAAATCAAATCTGGGTCGTTCGTGTCGTTTTCCTGGTGTTTAGCCGGAGATCAACCATTCCAAGTGGGCAGATCTATCGTATCATCACGGGAACCATAAATATAAACGCAACTCACCCAGCAGCATGATGACGACATCCTCGTTCGCGTGTTCCCGGATTTCGCTTAGCCAAGCCCTGATGTTGTCATAACTCGTCTTATTCGTCACGTCGTACAGCAGCAAAAGCGCTGGAACATGCAGTCTTGTGAATTGCCTTTTTTATCGACTACTTAATCGACTTTACATCACGCGACGGTCAGAAACTTTTTACGAATAAAAAGATGCATCTATTTACATCTTATATACACATACATATAAAAAAGTATATTAAAAGATAATCAAATTCAATGCAAAAGTGCAAGAAATTGTAATTTGTATTAGATATTTTCTCGCTTTAAACATTATCTTGAAACAAATCTTAATAACATTACGTTTCGATCTTTAGATTGATTATTCAATTATTTTATATTTAAACTGTAACTGCTATAAAATGTTTTACAAATTACAAAATCTATTAACTTTGGAACTTTGGATGTTTCGATTCTGCATGATCTCAATGGTTTAATCTCCTAAATGAGTGACGTGTCTAATTATTGCCGAATTCACTCAACTGGAATGATTGCTTTCGAAGTTGGGATGCAACGTAGCGTTATTGTCGTAACAACTTCAGAACTCAGATGGATAAACAATGAGGTTTCCCCCCTTCAGACTCTCCGTATTACCTCTCCGCTGTCTATATAAGTAAATCGAATTTGGCACCCGGCCAAAACTGACACGGGAGTAACAAAATCGAGAACAGCTAGGATTTGGGTTAGGAAGTTACGAACGGTTCATGCATTGTAAAGTTGAGTTCGCCGCGAGTGATAGTGGTAACGTTCCAAATTGATTATCCTAAGTCCGAAAACGGACTGGATTCGTCTCGGATTCGAGTGTGAACAACAAAGTCGGGACGAGCAATTAAGATTTCCCCGGAGACGCAGCAATGTAATGCTTTTGTTCTACGCCGCACATTGGAAAGTTCGTTGTTATATGCACAAGAAGTCTCAAATTCCCAATCCCAAAACCAATTTGGTATAGACGAGTCCTTGAAAAACAAAAAAGAAAATAAAAATCTGAATTCTAAAGCACGATATATTATATCCATTTCTATACTCTTTTCGTAACACTTTAAGTACCCGAAAATTAATTATACGAAATTAATTCTGAAAATTATATATAATAGACATTATAATCAATTACATTATATTAAATTAAATAACAATAATTTAAATTGCCTCGGAAGTTTATTTAAAATTAAAAAAGAAGACATATATAGAATCAAATCATCATTTTCTTGTTATGGAAAAGTCGATTTTGAATCAATGGATTCGCCAATTAAGAGAAAATCCGAGAAAAATTTGAAACTTCTTGCATAAAGGACAATCAATAGTAATAATTGGATAAAATTCCACATTTCGTAATTGTAAGAGAAAAGCTCCCCTATTATATAAACCAAGCGTGCATTAAACATCCGACGCGACGTTCCAAAGCGTCATATCTCTCGCCAAGAGAGATGTTTCTCATTAATTTCCGCTGTGTAAAACGAGGAGCTAGTAAAACATATGCACAGCTTCGAGACCGGTGGCATTTGCAACGCGATAATTAAATTGTTACGAGACATTGCAAAATACCGTATATTTATCAATGACGCGAAGCTGTGATAAACATATTTCTAATTAAGAATATCGCCGCGTCAATTTTATTTCAATCAGTTAAATTATAATATAACGAGAAACTTATACAATATATGTATATGTATAATATATATAAAATACATTATATTGCTCATTTGCTGCAGTAAGAAATAACTAAAAAATTATTACATATATCTACATCTAGTATATATTTAAAAACAATCAAATATTTTAAGCATAATTCGCTTGCACAATATTAGCGACCAAATATTTGTGCTTAATTTATTTACAAATTAATTCCTTTAAATGTTATACCAATTTCACTTTCGATCTACTTATCAATTTATACTATGAACATCGTTCCGATCTTTATCGATAGCAGAATTGTTACGTAAAAGAAAAGAGTTTACCATGTGCGTCTCGATAGTAAGCGTGCGTCACGCTTCGGAACCTTTCCTGGCCGGCTGTGTCCCATATCTGCAGCTTGATCGGCGTGTCGTCGACGGTGACAACTTTGTTCTGCAAAGGTAGGAAAGGTACTTCTTTGAATTTCTGTAGTCCTGCGAGGACTAAGCTTTAATAAATCACGGAGACACCGTCGTCCAATGTGAGCAACATGCGCTTCATTGCGTTAAAGAATCATTAATCAAAAGTTCATCAGCATTCTCTGCTAATTGCATACAGAGTAAATATGTAAGGTAGAATAAAGTCTCACCCTAAAGTCAATGCCGACGGTCGTTATATAGTTTCCCGACAGGAAGCGACCGTCACGGAAACGCGTCAGAAGACAGGTTTTCCCAACGCCGCTGTCACCGAGTAACATCACCTGCATCGAGCAACGATTATTCAAGTAATCGTTTCATTCTTATTCCATTCTTACTCGCTCATCCGCGTCCGCGTAATGCTAATCAAATTTTTGTTTCGATCAAACTAATATTTCATAGAAGATAAGAAAATAGATAATATATAAATATATGTACATAGTAAATTCGGTTGCTTGCATTGTAATTTGTGTAGCAAAAAAAAATATTTTGCTGCTTCAGCTAGAATTATCGCTGGTTTTTGTATCTGGTAGAAAATTATGTGTCATGTGCGTAGAATTTATAGCACAACATTCTAATAATTATACAAGAAAATTTTGGTCTCATAATCTAACATGATTCACTGCTAAATATAAATCACAATCACCTGATCGAACTTACAGAGAGACCCTGATAAAAAAAATTGATAAATAGTTCAGGTGTAAATTTTATCTGTCATCTATATTGATTAGATACAAAACATATTCGATATATTGCAGTGCTTATATTAATAATTTATTTATTTCAGCAAATTTTTCGTATTTAGATAATTTTTCTCTATAATTACAAAATCATTTTTTCAGTGTACATACACATAATATTAAAAACTATTGTACATAAAGTTAACAAAGTTAAAAGCATATAAATATGTTAAACAATTAAACATTCAATAATAACAATAATAATACTGATACACATGATTTAACAAAATAAACGTGTATAATTTCATTGTCAAAGTTGATTATATTATGCCACTTTAGATGATTTATATAAAATAGCCTTTAATGTGCTAATTCAGGGTGATGCAAGTGACCGAATTCACCAATAGTTAACTATCCAAATTTACATTGTTTATTCACTTCCTGGAAAAAAATACATACAAGTTTCCAATGAAGAAAATAAACAAAGAATATTTAATTAAATCGATTAAATTAAAATAATAAATTGAACAAAATAGAAATAAATAGAATAAAATAAATAAGACTGCATTTCACGCGGAAAGTAAGAAGCGATTAACATCTGACGGAAGGTCGTTCTTGGGATAGGCGAGAAAGAAACAGAAGAAGCGACAAATGCCTGCGCGTATCATCGTCGTAAGATGAGCGAGCACACAATAAGAAAACGGATATCAGGGAGCAAGGTAGGACCTTGAAGAGAAGGTCCGCGTGATCAGGTGGGGTGTGCTGGCCGGCGGAGTCGACGCTATCGCGCGAGGACTGGCGTCTGGTCGGGCCCGTGATATCTTGGGGCCTGGCGAAGGCGGTGGACGTGGCGGCCGGCGCAGCAACGGGGGTCGGCTGGGCCGGGCCCCGTACGGCCGACGCGGACCAATCGGCGCCGGTCGAGCTGCCGCTGCCGCGCGTGCCGTGTCTGCTGCGCCTCGACACGTTGCGCAACGTTTCCTCCACGGTGCTCATGGGCCCCTGCTACCGGGAGCACCAATTTGCTCTTCTTCTTCTCGGCCACTCCTCGTCGTCTCGTTGCGCCTTGGCGTCGTCGTGCTTGCGCCCGTGCTCGTTGTCGTCGTCGTCGTCGCCGCCGCCGCCGCCGCCGCCGCCGCCGCCGTCGTCGTCGTCGTCCTACTCCTTCTGCTTCTCTTTAGGACGACGACGACACGCCGAGGTCACTAAACCTCTCCCTGGACTCGCGAGCGCCCACTCGTTCGTTTCTGTTCGTTTCTCGTACGTACGCGCGTAAGTGCGTATGTGTGTGCTTCCTCTTCTCGCGTTTCTCCTTCTACCCGGAGTCCCCTGCCTTCTCGCGTCGCGCCCCTCTGCGTCCCAGACGTTTTTCTCTTGGCGTTTACGGCGGCGAGGGCTCGCCGTGCCACGGGGTACGAGTGATCGAGTGAAAGTACGGCTCGCCGTTCGAATCGTGCAAATGCAACCCGACTCTTTCGGAGAGCCCTTACTTTAGTGGGAACAAAGCGCTGTGCCAACACGGTCGAGACGACACGGCGAAATCTCCACGGAACAACCTGGTTGAATGACAAATCACGGAAATTCATTCACCTAAATTGGTGCAAATTTTCTAAATAATTTTTCATTATACGATATTTAATTATTTCCGGTTATTAGAACCTGCAGAATAGAGGGAGTTATGATACGAAGAGCGAAAATTTTTCGAAACGCTTTTTTATCACGCTTGATATTAATCCGCATGCACTTTAAAAATACCATATTTAACTGGTGTTACGTTTGTCGTAACGAAGTACGCGTTTGTACAACGTACAATGCGAAATCAGAAGAGAGATGGCTAATCGGAGCAAGATTGGAAATTTTTCGGGTGTAAAATTGCGCTGTCACCGCTATGAACAGCCGCGCGAGGTTAATGGAGGCCGGTCGGTAGCTCTACATAGGATTTTGCGAATATTAAAACGGAATTCAGTCGATGAGTGCAAAAGGAAAAGTATCCCCTTTGATCCCCGACGCATAAACCGCGCAAAGCCGAGCCGCGCAGTGTTGAAATATTCCGACGTTTGACGTTTTGACGAATGGGAGTATAATTCGTAGCGTCAGGCATCGCGTGCGTCGGTGGACAGCAATTTCCATCCAGTGACGAATTGAACCGTCTAAAGTGCGTCACGACCAGTTACGTAAACGTAAGCGCCGGCGGCTTTAATGAATTCCCGAAACACGGGAACGTCAGTCACATTCGCCGGTAACGAGTTTCCCCCGAAGACCGAAATCGATCTTCGTGACGCGATTAATCCGCTCGGAGGAGCGCATCTGATAAATTCCGTCCGAGCTACACGTATATATGACATATGTCCTCCGAAAACTAACAAGCTTTCTCCTCTCCTTCGCTTCACGTAACAATAATGCATGCGATTATCGCGTCGTAAACGATATCAGGCTCGATAAAAATTTTCTTTTTCTAGCTGATGATTAATCACTAAACTGATGATTTTGTGATAAATGACTCCAGTAGGTTTTTTTTCTTTATAAACCACACCATTATACGCTTCAAGTTTTAAGCCGTAAGAAATCAACCACATAATACACAATTTTTATATTATCATCAAGTGAGATTAAGTCTAAAACCACAAGTTAATAAAATAAAAAGCTGGACTTAGGAATTAGAAGAAGATGAAGTGTAAGTTGAACTGACATGAGATTAAAGTTAATCCACAGTGGCGGAAACGGGCGTTAATCCCTCGCAGAATTGAAGCCCTACACACCGCGTTACAGCAAAGCTGGATCGAGCTGCAACTGCAAGTTCGTCCCTGTGTATGTAGTGCTTGCCGCGATAACGAGCTGCCTAGCTTGCGTGTAAATCGAGAGCGGAAACGGTCTTTGTTTCTCGGGGAAAACATCGAATCGCTAATAGGCATGTATTCTCCGCGGCCCATGGCCGAATCCTTTTACGTTCTCGTAAATTACTGTATCATCCGATAATAACGGATACACGTGTCGCGTATCGCAACATTGAAAGGGAACGCGCGCTCGTATAACGCTCTGAAAAAAACACCTTGCATTTTCTATGCCGTGCTCGTAAAAAAAAATCGTTTCGGAATTTGCCCCATGGTGAAGTCCGTCGAAGCCGACCGCCGCGGATCATTTCCGGTTCGAACCCATCCTTCGCGAATCGATATTATCGGCGACCATTTTACGCCGTAACGTATCAAAACTCGCCCCGCTAAAGAAAGATCTTCCGAGCCTAAAATAATCCCGATATTCGCCGTCGAGTTTTCAGATATCGATATTTTCTAGCTTTTATTATCATGTGATACAATACTGCCTTATGTACCTATCGTTATTTCTTTTTATTTATCCACATCCGTTCGCGGCAGTAAAATCTCACGAAAGTGTACCTTTCGCTGCCTCTCGCGTTGCTCTGGAAAACAACAGGAAGTAAAAACTTTCGTTTCCCCATGCCAATTCGCTGCAAATCAAAATGACCTCATATGTGTAGCGTTTAATTGTCCGTGTAGAAATAACACACTGTACTACATACAAAAATGGATTTACAAATTTAAACGTGTAGTGTCATTTTTTTCAGGAAGGTTTAAATTATAGTATACGTATGTTAAAGTCACTTTGTACTCTTTTTAGTTAACCAAAAAATGAAATCATATTATATAAAATTACCATTGTAAAATTATTAATTATTATAATCTAATTATTAATCATAAAGATATTTTAAATAATTGTATAATATAATATTAATATTAAATAATGATATATAAAATAAATTATTAAAAGCAATGGTAAAATTTGAATAATTATCAATTATTTATTTAGTAATTAATTATATGTAGGAAATCACAATTTTTATATTATGATCAAGTTTAAGTGAGATTAAGTCTACGTTAATAATAAGAAAATAAAAAACTATGTTAAAAAATTATAGAAAAAAAATTTTATTCAGTTTAATTTGCAATGTTACGAGCGAAATAACGTAAATGAATCCGATGGGACTCGAGCTTGTTTTGTATCTTTCTAATACAGGCACAATCCGAAAATACAAAAAAATCGATGCATACGTGCAATTCGCACGGAAGATATGATTCCATCACGCGATTTAACTCCGTCCAATAATTTCGATGAATCACTTTTCGGCGTTTTTCCATCTGTTTGCCGCCGGACGACGCTTATCGAACTGGACCCTCGGCAGGCGCTAAAACTCGCACTCGACCGCCCGATCATTTCCGACTTCATTGGGCACGAAATAACACGGGCGATTTGGCAATTTGCTGGACGTGGCTGCGACACGTGCGGATTCGCGGTCGTGCAATCGCGGGAAAGAGACCGCCGACGATTCGACGATTGCATTCAGTGACCAGATTGCTTGACCGTCCATTTGCAACGCGTATTTCGAGAGAAAACTGAAAATTCCGATTTGAATAATTTAACGTATGAACGCGCCACGTGTTTTCGAATAATGTATAATGCAATGTATCGCACGGACAAAAATAAAAATAAACGTGAAAAACATTCCTAATAAATTAACGATTTATCATCTATGATTATTCAAAAATACGGAAAGAAATCCTCGTAAATGGGAATCTCTAATGTTACTCTTGGATTAACGTTTTTATACAGATATATAAATACATAAAATTTTATGTATTTACACAATGTTATGTATATTTTACTTTTTCATATTATATGTACAATGTATATAATAATACAATAACATATTTATCTATCATTATGTGTGTATAATATAATAATTAATAAATTTTCTAATGTAAGTAGTTTCGAGAAGTTTACTTTTTCGAGGAGATCAATGACGTTTTGTACGACGACAAAGATTTCCCAGATTTCCTAAAAAAAAAATTGCACCATGTAACAAATTGAGCAACAGCGCGACTCGGAACCCTCGTAGAAATTTCCTTCGACGTCGGCTGCGTCGCAGAAACCGGATTGCAGTGCAGATTCGAGGCCGGCAGGCCCAGCCTACCTCTTTTGGGCCCACCCACGCCGTGGTCGGCACCGAAAAGGCACACCACTGTGAACCCAACGGTTACCCGACTGGTGGCGCCCTTTTACAGCATACCTCGGAGAGAGAACGGGTGTAACCGTGGACCCTCAGGAACGCGCGTCACGAGAACATCAGGCGCGATTAATTAATTAATTATGTCGGCGCGCGGCCCAGCAGCGGCGTGATTAATTGTGCCGTTCGAACGAATCGCCCGCGCGCACCGTGTCGGTTACTGACACCATCTTCTCCCGTGACCCTCTTGTGACTCCGAATTGCGTCATGCACGGTCACGCGCCGGTGACTCGCTTATCCCATGCCACTCGTGCGATTCTTCAACTTTCCCGACTTCAATGGTGACATTCTAACGTTACTTAATTAGCACGTATAACATCGTGCGATTTATATATGATTCGAAACTGCTTACATTAAAACTTTATTATTTTAATTTTTGTGTTTTAATAATTGCATAATTATATTACAAATGTATATTATTGCTCATATCATATACATATATCTAATTAAATGAAAAGTAAAATATATATATATATATATATATATATATATAAACGTGAAATTTTATATTATACATATAAATTTCTTAAATATATAGAATATAGGAATAATATATGTAATCACCTGTAAATAGGTTCATTTTATGTAACAGATGATTACCCTATAAAATCAAGAGAGAAAAGTGAGTAAAGTTACAAAAAAAAGTTAAATCTTTACTCTATACTGTTCGATTAATCTAGATTTGCCAATTTTATTTTTATTATTTTTTTATGGAACTCGTTTTACCAATTTTCCCTCTGTGTTTAATATTTTATTTTCATTTAAATATGACACAAACATAAAAGAAGAAAAAACATTCTTTTTTTTTTTTCAATAATAATTAAATATAGTATGTAATTTTTTTATTAATAGAACAAAAAATGCTTTAAAAAATCATAAAAATTCAATTTAATTAAATAACCTACTCTAAGATTTAATTCGCATCATCACTTTAGTTTTAAAATCAGCTAAATCTTTTTTCTTTAATTGCAAAACATGACTTCTTTTTAATTTAAAAAAGGTCTTATTAATAGTTTGAGTGAACAAAATTATAACAAACTTTTTCATAAAAAAAAAGTGTTTCAAGTATTTCAAGAAAAGATAACTACTTTTGCAAATAGACTGTTCAAATTGTATATATGGTATATATATAGTAGTTATGCACCTCCCAAAAATGGACTTTGGTGGCTCGGGATAAGAGACTTGTAGCGTCTCTCAGTTTTTGAATATGGCCGGAGACACTACCGCGTCTCCTGATATATATGTGTTATATATTTTTATAAAAGATTATTAAATTACATGTTCTACATATTTAAAAAATATGCACTTATATTTATGTTATATAAACATCATACGTATTTTATGTTTTAATATATATTATGTTCTCAAAGTTGCATTTATTTTATATTTCTTTTTTAAATATCAAAATTAAAACTATTTTTACTTTTTAAAACTGATTTACTAAATATACGCATGTTTCTGCGATTGATGCACTGCTGC